TGCCTGGGTGGCTCAGTGGGTTAAGCCTCTGCCTTCAGCTCAGGTCATGGTCTCAGGGTCCTGGGATCCAGCCACGCATCAGGCTCTCTGCTCATCAGGGAGCCTGATTCCCCCTTTCCCACTGCCTGCCTCTCTGCCTACATGAGATCTCTCTCTCTCTCTCTCTCTTTCTCTCTCTCTCTGTCAAATAAATAAATAAAATTTTAAAAAGAAAAGAATCACTCAGGCTACTGTGTGCAGAACGGACTTGTGGGGTTGTGGGGTGGAGAGGCTACTTGTATTAATGTAGATTGAGATTTCTATACTGCTGGCATTTGGGGCCACATTAATTTTTGCTATGGGGAGCTGTCCTGTGCACTGACCACTAGATCCCAGGAGGGCCCTTCCCCACTCCCAAGTTGTGACAACAAAAAGGTGTCCAGACCCTGTCAAAGTCCCCCGGGGGGGCAGGTGCACAAAACTCTCCTGGCTGAGGACCACCGATCTGGGTGAGAGGCAGTATTGGCCCAGACCAGAGCGGTAGATGCAGGGGTGGGGAGAAGTGGGGAGATTCTGTGTGTATATTGAAGGCAAAACACGCAGGATTTGTAAATATATTAAGTGTGGAGTATGTGGAAAAGAAAAGAGTTGGGATGATTTTACAATTTTGGGGGCCTGAGGCCCTGGAACAATGAAGTTGCCATTTGCTAAGATGGGAAAGACTACGGGAGAAGCAAGTTTGATGGGAAACAGGTGTTTGGTTTTGGAAATGGCGGTTGAATCCATATGGGGATGCCAAACCAGCAGCTGAACACATGAGTTTGGCATTCATGGGTGAGGTCCAGGCTGGAGGCATAAATATGGGCACCGTTAGGACATAACGTTCAAGCTCTGAGAAGAAGTGGGCTTACCTATGCAGTGAGTATGGACAGAGGTGTGTTTGGCAATGCGATAAGGCAGCTTCATGATATCTGTCCCCTGGTGTTTGTCCTGTGAGTGTGGACGGGAGTGTGTATGGGACCTAGGACTTGCTTTTAACCAGTAGAATTTGGCAAGGTAAGAGTATGTCACTATTATGATCTCATTATATTAAATCAGACTGTTTTACTGATTGGAGTGAGAGGCTCTCCTGGTCTTGAAGAAGCAAAGAGCCAAGTTCGGAATCACCCATGGAGAGAGTTAAATGGCAGGAAACCGCAGGCGGCCTCTGGGGGCTGAGGATGGTCTCCAGTTAACAGCCTGGAGAATCTCCCTGCCCCCCCAGCGTGGGCTGCCCCCCAAATCACACAGCTACAAGGAAATGAGTTCCGCCAACAACCTGAGTGAGTTTGGAAGCAGAGCCTTCCGTAGCGGAACCTGCAGGAGAGAACACAGCTTGGTGGGCGCCTTCTCTCCTCCTTTGAGTGAGACCCAGAGCTGAGGACCCTGGCTAAGTTGTGTCTGGCCTCCTAACAGCTAGAGATGGTAAGACAGTAAACTGAGCTGTTTAAAGTTACTAAACTTGTTATTATTTGTTACGAAGTAACTATTAAAAACAAAACAAGAGGCCCAAAATGGAGTTGCTTATGTTAAGCCCCATGTCACCCAAACCAGACTCAATTATGATGTCAGCTGTCCCAGAAATGGAATCTGAGCCCAGGCAATCAGACACCACCTGATCCGCACTCCCTCGGACCCCTGCCATCCCCGGCAGCCAAGTCACCTGGCCACAACCAACCTGCCTTGTTTGCCTGATGTGACTTCCTTGCTCCTCCTCCCTTCTGCCTATAGAAGTCTTTTGTTTTGTACAGCTCTTCCGAGCTCCTTTCAATCTGCTGGCTTAGATGCTGCCCATTTCGTGAATCATTGAATACAACAAATAAGTTATTTAAAATGTACTCAGCTGAATTTTTTTTTTTTTTTAACACAACAGAAAACTCAGGCAGAAGGTCCAAGTCCCAGAGCACAGGACTGATGTTTAAAGGTCAGGAAGCTCAGGAGAACCTAGCCAAGAAAGGAGCCATCACTGACCAGTGTGGAAGAGGAAGGGAAAGCCAACATCACGATGAAATAAATAGAATATTTCCAGAGAAGTGGAGGGACTTCTGTGTCTATAGGACTGACAGGATGAGTCATTTGGATCTGAGGGTTAATCATTGGATTTGGCAATTTGGCGGTGATTAGCGATCTTGTAAAATATCTGTGTAGGTGTAGTTGTGGGACCAACGACTGTTAACAGTGTCTGAAGTGCAAAAAAAATTTCAGGGTTTGGATTCAAATGGGAGCAGTGGATACAAAGAGCAGTGATCAAGTCTGACTTCTGTTTTGGAGGTCAAATCAGCTGGTTTTGCTTATGGATTAGATATGAGAAAAGGGAAAGGGGGAATTTATCCCAGGGGCTGAGGCTTTAGCCAGTAGGAGGTGGGGATGCTGTTTACTAAGAATGGGGAGACCGGGACAGGAGCAGGTTGAGGAGGGAGCAGGTTAGAAATTGTGGTGGAAATAAGACTCCTATTACATATTCATGGAGAAATGCTGCAGGCAGCTGGCCACGTGATTCTCAGCTCCAAGGGCGGGTTAGGATTAGAGACATTAACTTCAGAGCCTTCAGCTTCTTCAAGGAACTTAAATCAATGATGCTGAATGGGATCAGCTAACGCAGTGGTTTTTAAACTGGGGCTGGGAGGCAGGGGGTTTTGCTCCCAGGGCTGATTGAACAATATCCGGAGACATTTTTGGTGGTCACTACTGGGTAGGGGGGTGCTACTGGCATCCAGTGGCTAGAGACCAGAGATGCTGCTAACTGTCCTGCAGTGCACAGGACAGTCCCACAGCAGAGAATCATCCACCAAGTATCAATAGTGCTAGGTTGCGAAACCCTGATCGAGAGAGAGAGAGAGAGAGAGAGAGAGCGTGCATAGCTACAGAAGACCCAGAATCAAGCTCTTCAAAGGTGCGGAGATGATAGAGAAGCAGATTGAGAATATAGGTCCACGATGGTAGGAAGAGAAACCAAGTGATTAAGAGGGCACTAAGGAAGCGGGAACCTAGAGACACTGAGTACGTCCACGTTTGCTAGTGGTAGGCGTGTATGGTGCATAGACCCCCTACGAGAATTCATGCACCTTGCACATTTTAGAGTGGACATCTGAAATTTTTAATCATAAATTTTTCATCACAGTATATGTATATTTTATTAACTAGGTGTTGAAAATATTAAACATTTAAAAAATGAGATAGAGGGTGCCTGGGTGACTCAGTCACTAAGCAGCTGCCTTTGGCTCAGGTCATGATCCCAGGGTCCTGGGATGAAGGCCCACATTCCTGCTCAGCAGGAAGCCTGCTTCTCCCTCCCCTGCTCCCCCTACTTGTGTTCTCTGTGTGTGTGTGTGTGTGTGTGTCTCTCTCTCTGCCAAATAAATAAATAAATAAATAAATCTATCTTTTAAAAAGAAAATGAGATAGGAAAGGATCGACTTCATTGGAATAACATTTGCTTGCTACAAGTTGATTTTTTTTTTTTTTTAAGCAGAACAGTCTCGTTTTCTGTTATTTTATTTCCCACTGGAAATAAAACCACACTGGAATGGAATGAAACCATTAAAATCCTTACTTGTGCTTTTTCCTATTATGTCCCCTAAAAATATGTAGTTTAATTTAAATATGAAGGAATGAGTTTCACTAACCAAAATTGATTGTTTTTCTGATTTCAGAGTGCTTCCAACATCTGCCTAAATCCCCTTTCTGATGTTAACCTTCACCCTTAATAAGGAGAGGAAGACCTAAAGGTGGAGCCCCAACTTTGGTGTCAGCCCAAGTCCTACACTCTAATAAGATCTGAGAGGAGTGTCTTGATCTTCCAGGAAGTGAGAGGAGTATCCTGATATCAGACCCAAGAATGGGCATATCACCTATCCTACAGAGCACACGTGGAGTCTGGATCTGGAAATGGATTCCCTTAAAATGATCTGCACACAAGGATTCTTTATAGAGATTTTTCAACTACCCTTGCGGACATGGTACCCTACACCCACAGGTGTAGACAAATATTTTACAAGCTATGCTGGGAATTAGGTGGGGAGAGAAATACAGAGGTTGTTATAGGAAGATAGAAGTTTAAAGGAAGTCTTTGTTTTGGTTTTTTTTCCTTTCGTTTTTAAGAAAAAGGTCATTTGTCTTCTGACTGGAAAGATCCATTGGAAAGAGAACTTGATATTGACCCTGGGAGTGGAGTCCTGGAGAGGGCTAGAGGGAACAAATCCCCGACACAAGGAAGGGGACCCAGCTGGGGGGGTCTGCTCTTCTCAATAACCCTGCTCTGTCTTCAACTCTTTCTGTGTTTCTTGTACATTTCTCCAATTACCATGTAAATTCCATGATGCCAGGGACTTTTCTGTGTTGTTCGCCACAGATTTACAAACACTCAGGGCAGTGTGTAGCACGTAATAGGTACTGACTAAATATTTATTGAGTAAATGTCTAAAAACAAATTAAAAATGGATACAAATGTAGGTATAGATTTGATTGGGACTGGGAGCTGAGGAAGGTGAGGACAAAGGGGGTGTCCAGAAGGACTGTCATATGCTAAAGAAGAATTTCAGGATAAGGGAGACCTGGTTATTGTCAAGCCAAGGCTGTTTTTGCCTCTAATGAGGGAAAGCATGAAGACAGTTGGGAGTTTCCTGGAGAAATGTTACATTCCTCCTATCACACATCCTTGTCAGTGGGCTTCGGGTTTAGAAGAAATTCAGTTTTATTTACACTTCCCTCCCCCTCAGCCTCCCTCAATTTTATGGAGGGGAGGGTGATGTTAGGGCTTCCGGGAACTGAGGTATGGGTCTCCGGAAGTCAGGCTATTGATGAGAAAGCTTCTTCCTTCCTTGTAAGTCTCTAGGACATTTGTAAACGGAGGGAGACTCCTGTCCTGCAGGACTGGGATCTCTATCAGTTAAGCATTATTTTTCCTTTAGGGTAGCCAGGAGTGCCTGAGGAATGTCACACATATGGCATGGGGGTGGGTGTAGGGTGCCAGCTTTGTCCTCAGCTTGCCTTCTGCTCCCTCATCCCTAGGACAGGAGCTGAGAGTGAGGGGACATAGTTCAGAAGAGGTGGGGGTAGGCGTTGTTGAGGCAAGTCTTGAAGGTGTGAAATGGTCATCTATTAGAGGGAAAGCAAACCCACTGGAGAGACAAGGGAGTTTGAAGCCAGGGTTGAGTATCCACTGGAGGATTGTAGTCAATTGTTTTAAAGTACAGCAGGTTGGCTCAGCTGAATGATTGGTTCCTGGTTTCTGGTGCATGCCGCTGGCATTGGTGGAATCATTTCTAAAGAAACAAAACAAAGGAGGATAAGCTGTTTTTTCAGAAATGATGATGAATCAAGTTTTGAACATGCTGGGTTTTGAGGCACGGGTGGGACATCACAGTGAAATAGCACGAGTAGGTAGTCAGTTACACGGGCCTGGTGGGTAGGAAAGAAACAGATGGTCGTGTATCAGTGGGAGAGATGTTGGCTAGGGAATGGGAGCTGAAACCAAGGGCACAGTTGATATCACTACAAGAGAGGGTAGCTTGGAAGAGAAAGGTTAACTGAACCCCCGGGGAAACCCTGATGGGAAAGTCACATGCATTTGTCAGGCATGCCAATGTTGACACAGATTATTGTAACTCCTGGGTGCCAGAAGCCACGTCTTCGAGCTTCATTCATTCTCTGCCTCTGGCATAGCGTGGGCCACACTGAAGGTAATTCTAAAATTCGTTCTGATTTGATTTCACTGCACTTTTCATTTACCAGAATCCTGTCATGGTTTGGTAGTGTATCATTTTCTCAAAAAGATTAAATAATGACCATTTTACAAATATGAGATGAATGCCTGAAGGGATTTTGTTTAGTTCATTTATTAGCTCGGGAACCACTAAGACATTACCACCACTTCAAGCAAGAATCTCAAGGCAGACACATATACAATCAGTAATACTTAAACGAATTTGCTTTGATAGATGCAAATAGATATGCAAATAGAATGCAAATGAATGCAAAACTGCCCTCTACCAAAGGAAAGGGGGTCAACTGTACTTGCAGTGGACAAAATTCATTTGCATATTGCTAGACAAGATCATCTGTATCCATATCAATTATGTAAAATCTGTAGAGTTGCAAAATAGCTCAAAGACAAGAAAGGCACAGAATATCCCATAGAATTGGTCAGCCCAGAAGGGTACATGAGACAACGCCTGTTTTCCCTTGGAAGACACTATAATCTTTTAGGTTCATTTCAATGTCTTTTGTGATTTTGCCTATGCTTTAAAAAAAAAAAGTTACCCTTATCATTCTTATTAGTTTGAAAAAAACTAATAAAATATTAGTCTGTTATAAAATACATATGGAAGAATGTTCTGGCACTATCATACCCAATTTGGGGTACTAACTGATTAGGAAGATGAGGCAGAATTTGGGAGCCCCAGGATGAGTCTGTTTCCGGTTGGAATGGGAAATATTTAAGAATCAAACTAAATGATCTCAAATCCACTCTGGAATGAAACAGGTATAAGGAAAATACAGAAGATGTTGAAATGGCCCTGTTGGCTCATTGTGAGCTTTCCTGGTCGAATGGAGACCTCTACCATGATGCTTGTCCTCCATGTCCCACCCACCCCACACCTGCTATCCTGGCACCAAAGGGCCACCAGACTTTAGGCTCAGTCTGCAGTTCCAAATGGAAACCCTCTGTTCCCACAGTAGTGGACAGGATGATTCTGGTTGCTGGTGGAAGCGTCAGCTGCTTTAGTCCAACAGTTCAGGAGAGGATCAGAAGAGCATAAGGACGATATTGGAAAAAATGCTCATACGAATTTCCAGAACACAATATTTCTCTTTGCAATTTTTGAGTGTTCTGTAGCCAACCTGCCAAAAAAATGTGAAAACTATAAATAGAGAAGAGTGGGAAGGAGAAATGAGGACCTGTCACAGTGCCAGCGAAAATAGGGAACTGAGAATTTTCCAGAGATTCAGAGTCAAAGGGGGTTAATATTTACTTAGAAAAGAAGTCGTGGGCACAAGCTCTAGGATGAAATGAAGGCAAGAGAGGCAAGTTAGGGAATAGAGAGAGAGAGACTTGAAGATAAAAAAAAAGTCAACTTAAAGTCTCATTCCTCATTAAGGAAAGTACAGATCAGAGAAAAGGGGAGAGACGGGATATAGTTGATCGCCGATTATGTCTGGCTCTGATTAGAAGCTTTGTATCCACTTTTTAATTTCATCTTCCAGCCTGTTTCCTGGATTCCAGCTCCTATTTCCTGTGAAATAGGTACCATCACCAAAGACGAGAGTCAAACATGTAACAGTAGGCAAATCTTTAACAGCGCAGACAACTAACTAACCAAAAGCTGGCCCGAGGACCCCTGCAGAGTCATGTGTTACGCTCCCAGGGCCTGGATCCCGAGGCCACGGTAGAGATCTTGGGAAGGGTTCAGGGTAGGGAGACACACAGCGGGCTCTGGCCAGAGGCTAGTCACCAAACTTTGCGAGGCTGAAGGGGTGTGTACCAGCTGAATGTCAGCTCCCAGGTGACACTGAGGGCAATGTCCTTTGGGAAGATTTCAGCTGACTCTCTGCCTTTCCTTCGTCCTCCCCAGGGTGTTCCATTAGCATCTGGGGTCTTGCCTGTTGCTCCTGGCTTTGGTTGCTCCACGCCACTGCCACAGCCGGGGCCTCAAGTGGCAGCACACTGTATGGGGTCTTGACTGTTCCCTCCTGACTCTCGGAAGGAGAACAGACAGCAGGGGTTTTCATTCTTTGTTGGCACCCACCCTCTTCAGCATCCCCAAGATCAGTACCCCAGGCTGCACAAGCTCAGGTTCATGTCTTTACCAAAGGCCGGCAATCATTTCAGAAAGGAATGACAATGAAGGTAAGAAACAGTTCAACTACTCGCTCATCTGGACTTCTAGGGCAGGCAGGGTTCCCAGACAACTTTGTTCGGTCCAACTGGCACCCTTGCCCCCTCTCTTGGTGCCTTGGTGATGAGTGTGGGCCTTGCTGTTTGCGCTGCCTGAATTTGCCCTTGTCGCTTATTAACAGTGTGGCCCTGGGCTAAAAGTCATGCCTCTCAGAGCCAATCGGAATAGCTTATTAGACCTATTGATTCTGGCATCGTGGGCCTGTGCAGAAATCTCTCTTCTTCATCCCTCCTCCTTCTCAGTCTTCCCCTCCTCCTCTTCCTCCTCCTTCTTTGATGTGTAAACCAAGGTATTTGGGGAGCAGGGAATGATGTGATGTTTGGGATTTACTTTAAAATATATTCCAGACCTCCCCCCCCCCCCCCCCCCAAAAAAAATACAGGCACTGCGGGGGCAGTAGGAGGAGGAGGGCCTATGAAACAGACAGTTGGGGAAGCAGAGTGATAAGTACTGGGAAGGGCCGGGATCCTTCCGCTCTCCACACTTTGGTGTATGTTTGAAAATGTTCATAATAAGAGTAAACAAACAAAGACCAAATAACGAGGCTTTCATTCCCTATATCCAAATGACCACTACAGGGCATAAAATGCACTTTCATAGTTGCTCCCCTGGCGATTTATTCTGATTCTCCAGATAAGATTCCAGCTCTCATCCTACCTCTCATAGTCTCTGGGTATTGACTGGGAACGTTTTCTTCAACAAGGCCTTGCCAGGCCCACTGCTAGGGAATGTATTGTTTCAGATTCTGTACTCACGTTTTTAAAAAAAGTGACCAGTTTCCCATTTGGAGTGACTCGAATGCAAGACTCACTGTTAAGCCGTTGTCTTGCTGTGTCCCATCCCTTTCTAAGGACTGTTAATGCTATCTCTGGGAGATCACAGCATTGGGAGGGGTAGCCCAGGCCTGGTCTATCGCGGCAAAGCTGCAGGGTGAAGGGCGCAAAGTGAGATCTGTGGTTTGAGCTGTCAGAGTCTCAAGGAGACAAAAAAGAGAAATGAATCGTCATTTGACCATGGCATTCCCACTAAAGGGGAGGACAGTGGGAGAAAGAGCAAGGGAAGAGGAAAGAAAAATCTCAAAATAGATGTGGGGTAGATGGCAGGAGGAGGAGGGAGTCTCGGAAATTGGGGGCAGGTGTGGCGATCGAACCAATGCTGGCCACAAACGCACAATTCCGCCCATCCTAGCGTGGACTAGAAATAAACATGCTCGCACATCTACTTGTCGGCTGTGCTTTGTCGGCCGTTAGCGAGGTGATCCTTTAAGAGCTCTGAGGACCCAAACTTGTGGCCACCCCGGAGCTGAGCCGAAGCGGAGCAGGGAGCTGCCCAGACGACCCGAGGCTGCCAGCTGACCACCTTCCTCCCGACAGATCGCGGGAGCCACGCTCAGCGGGGGAGAAGCCACGCTCGCTGGTGGGCGCCGGGGCTAAGGGCGGAAGCCAGGCTCCCACGGAGGCCTCCGCGCCCAGGCGGCTGCAGCGGCGGCGCACGGGGACCGGAGGACCGACACGGGGACGCGCCCCACTCTGGACGACCGGCCGCAGAAGTAAAGGGCCAGCATCCCTCCACGGCTATGCTTCCCGCGGGACAATCTCGGGAGAAGATCCTGGAAGAGGCTCGCACGCCGATTTTCCGAGGGAAACAGTGAGGTGGGGAGGGAGCGCCCCTGACCCTCCGCGCCCTCCCCTCTCCGGTTCGCCCCGCGTCGCCAGCAGCCGGGCTGCCCCGCAGAAACGTACGCGAGGGTGTAGTGCCGCACTCCGCCGCACGGGGGCAGCACCACCTGCTGGCTCAGCGGCGGCGGTCCTCGCGCCTCTCTTGGCGGCGGCAGGCGGAGGCGGGCCCGCGGCGTCCTCGTTTATTGGCCGCGGCGCGGGCGCTGCCATGTTGGCGGAAGCGGTGCCTTCTGTGCGGTGGCAACTGGCAGTGCCTGCTCCCGCCGCGCCCGGGAGCGCAGACTCCTACCTTTCCTCCTCGCTCGAGTGTCGGCGCTGAGAGGCGGCGGCCGGCGGGATGGAGAGAATTAGGATGAACCTGCCCAAGGGGCCGGACACGCTCTGCTTCGACAAGGACGAGTTCATGAAGGTGCGCGCCGGGGCTCGGCTCCCCGGAGTCGGGCCGTGGGTGGCCTGCCCTCCTTTGCCCTCCGGGGCCTCTCCTCGGGCTTCTCCTGCGGGCTTCCTGGGCCGTGCCCGCCCCGGACGGGTCCTCGGCGGGGACCTCGCTGCACTTCGCAGTGAGTCTCTTGGCCTCGGGTTTGGTAGGTGCAGCCTGGAGAAAGCACTTCTGTGAAATCGTGCACATTGGGTGAAAAGGCCTGAAAGTTCAGGGCAAGTGGTTTTGAGCTAAACGTAAAAGCCCCTGTTAGGACCCGACCCTGTTACCGTGCGGCGCACTCAGACCGCCGCTCCCCTGGCCTGACAGAAGCCTCCCAGTGCCTTGCGCCTAGAAGCTCAGCGACTGTGCGTTGAACACATCTCTGAACGCACGTACTTACCAGGAATCGGGTCAAAAAGGCACTTCACCTAAAGTTATTGCCTCACTTTCGTCTAAAGCTCCTGGAATGAGAAATCTGAAAGACTGTACTATCCTTACTGATTCTGTTCCAGTATTACAAAGCATACCAAGCTCCTTTTCTAAAGTTGCCCTACTTCTCTTGGTGAGGTCAGCTTGAAGCTGGCTGCAGATAACTGTGGGACATAAACTTACAGAATAGAAATTTAAACTGAAAAGACTTTACTGACGATAAAGGTTCATCAGGCATAGCCTTGAAAATGTCCCAAGGTTTGAATCAGAGCCAGGAGGAGCTTTATCTGTTTTCTCTATCCCTCTGGGTCTGTACTTAAACTATCAAAACGTATATGTTTAATTTCTAAGGATTGGGATTTAGTCGCCGGTTTCAATATTAAAAAGTTTTGGCTCTGTAGGTACCTAAAATTTTGAAAGAGTTTGAATTTCTTACTTTTTTATGACTTCAAGTCATGATATGTTTTTTGTCTTTTTTGGGTTAACCAGCTAGTTCCTTTTTGATATTTGCATTCAGATCACATCTCCCAGACTCTGGCTTTAAAAGTGCTTATGTCTGGATCCTCTGCGGTGTGGCAGAGGGATGTCTAGTAATATGTAGGGATGTCTAGACGAAGGTATATTGTACTCTTGTTCTTGTACAGTGATGTTAAACCACTGTAATAAAAGGTGTAAATTGAATGGGGTGTCTGAAGGAGAGCACAGAGTGAATTCTCTGATCCAGAAACCTTTTGTTAACGAAGGACACGTGATGAGGAGAGAGGTCACTGGAAGAAGAAAAGGCACACGCAGAGACTTAAAGAATCTCAAAGTACGGAAGTCTCTTTAGCTTGTCTGTCTTTGGACTTCGTCAGGCTTCCTTTGGGCCTAACACTAGCATTTTCTCACGCTTACTAGCCCCGCCATCTTCCTCACTCTGAGCTGACAGAATGCCTTTGGTCAAAGCAGCTTCAGAAAATAGAAATCTCAAAATAGCAGTTCTAAAGTAGGACTTAGAGGTAGGGAGAGAGCAAACTGGGAAAGTGGCTAGAATGCCAGCAATTCCGTGTTCTTTCAAGGCTCTGAAACTTCTGAATATAATGTACAATTTGTAGTGTTAATGAACGTGACCCCTTCTTACATAGAAGGAAAATACATGGAACAGCTGTTCTGTGTAAAGTGGTATTGATCTTCTAGGTGGGACCTGATGATAAAGGTTATTTGCAATTTGTGTTTCCGTCAGAGAGACGTTTTGTAAGTTACAGTTCTGAGGCAGAAATGAGTGGAGAGCTTGCTGTCGGGGTTGTATCTCTACATAGGTGTCTTGTTCGGCACATTTTGGAACGAGACTGGGATGGTAGAGAGGGAGATGGGGTGGGGCTGCGGTTTGCACCTTGGACACTGCATACATTGAGGGGTCCACGTTGATGCAGTCTTCACGGTAGAGCTGCAGTCAGGTTTACAGCAGGAAGTTGCATGGTCATATCTGTTGAGTTGGAGCTGGCTGGTGGCAGGAGACTACTTAAAAAGTCATGTTTATGAGATCTAATGAGAAATAGGAGGGAAAAGGTATGCAAAAGAGGTAGGTGATCAAAATGCAGGAATGGCAGATGGGGAAGGGTCACCTGGGGCAGAGGCAGTGACAACATCATACTTTGTCGGCTTAGAAATACGAAAATCCTTAGGGTTGACAGCCAACTAATAGATGAGCGGGACATAAGGTATTGGTAATAGGCGGAGAAGGTGGCATAACAGATAAATTAGACCATTTACATGGGTGTGCTGTTGACATCACACGTAGCCTTCCTCTTCCATCTCAACATACGACTTCATCTCCAGTCGTACAGAAAAATTAGCAGCCATCCACGGGACCTCCTCCATCCTGCTGATCACCATCCCATTCTTGTATTTGTCCCCTTCTCCTCCTCGCCTGGTACGG